GGTGTGATGTTGAATAATTTTTTTTATCTGTATCCATGCTGTGTTAATCATTCTCCTCTTTTATTTTCCAGCACTTTTATTTAAAAATGAGTTGAATTCAGATTCGGTTAATTCAAACATTTTAATATTAATTATTTTTCAGTCTCTAGACTTGGTGTGTCCTAACTTCGTTTAAACGTATTTAAACTTTAACCTGAATGAATAATTAACATAAAATGCCTATTTGTCTACATATATCTATATATAACTATCTAGATATATGTAGACAAATATATATAACTATCTTTGAACCAAATTATCTAAGGAAAATGGGATGGAGAACTATACTGCCAGAAGGCTTGCGAGCGCGTTGCTGCGATATATATTAGATATATAAGTTTTAAAATCATAAATATTGATTCAATTGCCCACGTTTTGACTAAGGTTTTTAGACGATTCAAACTTGAACTTGAAGGCAACTCTTTTAATCGTATTTTCCTAATTAAATCTTCAATAAAATGTAAAAGCCATTTAAAATACGAATCGTAATAAGAAGATTTAACTTCGTGCTGAAAATTCTATTAAACGAGATGCAAGGTTTTCTGAATGTTCTCGAAATTTTACTTTTTGTTAATTACGTCGAACTTTTGATCAACAAAAATGAATACATGGAAATGCTTGCTGTATTGTTAAACTTTGTTGTTATTAATTTGTAAAATGCAACTTATATTATGAAATAAATTAGTTTATCTTTTTCGCCCTTGTTCTTATAATTTTATTCTAGAATCGATTCCTGTCACTATTTATTAAATTTTTCCTATTTGGTATGCAAATCTATGAAGATTCATTATTTAATAGCGTAGCACTTAGCAATGCCTAGATCCGACCCTAAGGCGAAAAATATAATTGCAACACTGGGCATGAAACTCGGAAAAGTCTAGCTTTAGAAATTCAATGATTTTTCAATCAAAACATATTTTATTCTTAGAAAGTAAACATTTTTTTTAAATGTAGCTACCGTATATGGTTACAGAATAACATGTGACAATCTTTCATCACATCATATGTCATCTTCACGATGTAAAAATACAAACAGTTATTGCATGAAGGGCTCGTATTTACAAAGTCGTAAAACGATAATGATGTTAAACATTTTTATATTTTTATTTATGAATAAACCATCGTTAAATTTTGTATTTAATCCAATAATAACAAAAAATAATCGTAAAAAATGTTGCTAAGCTCAAAACTCGGAAAGTCCTAGAGCAATTCGAGTTATTTTTATTTTATTTATTCCTTGGAAGGTTTTTATGGAGAGAAAAATTGCACGGAAAAAGCTAAAAAACTAGTTTGTTTTAAACGAAAAAAAAAAGGTTTTTTAGGTTAGTACTTACTACTAAGGTAGTGCTTAGGTTTTTATTCTGGAAAAGCGAACAACCTCTATGAGCTAGCACAGCTAAAAAGGTAGCCTTATTAAAAACAATTATTAAGGCGAAGCGAAAAATGCGTGGGCAGCTAATTGATAACATAGTTGAAATAAGTGATAATAGATACAGATAAGTAAACAAATTACTTTGGAAATATATTTTTTCCATCGATTGCCGACTTTATTGTCAACACCTCTAAATGTGAAATAATTTAAAAGAATAGATTCATAAAAAGTAATAAAATTTTCTATATCACCTTTTAACATAAACTCTTCAATAACGACAAAGCCGTTTAAATGAAAGTTAAAGCCATTAAAAACATACATAATACAACAGTCATATACAGAATAAAAATAATATATTTATAACAAATTAATGTGGCATTTGTTATATAAAACTGTGGCGATCATACACGGTGTTAACCAACGATATTTGGTAACAAGGGTATTAAGTTTAAACATACATGTATTTTATGTTCCATAATAAACATATATTATACTTAAACGTTTTATTGTTGCAAGTCAAGAATTACTAATCCGACTTCCATAAAATCTACGAATGGTAACAAATGTGGTATTTTTAGGTCTAAATAATGCAGCAATTAAAATAAGTTCTTAAGACTTTAAAGTTTTCCAATGTGTACTAGTTTGTTATTTATGTACAAGGGTATTAAGATCGTATGAGATTAATTGTAGGCATTTTTTTGCTGAGAATCAGGTTGTGATTTCGAATGATTTGACACTTCAATCTTGAATGGAGAAAAAGGTTTTTTAATGTTGGTCAAAAATGGGCTGTGTTTACGTGTAGACCTAACAAATTTTTGTTCAATGTTGATATTCATTACGTTGTTAAGGTATCGAGGTATCGTGATTGCGGCGAATGGCTCCACAAACACAGACACGCATACGATTTGCAAATATGAATCCGAATTGAGTACCACCCCTGTAGACAAATGTTTGTCGGCTTAACGTCGGATTTTTAAATATAGAATGCGAATTCGATATACAAAACACATTTAACCCTTTCACTGTGTTTGTTTTCTTGAGTGGATTTGTTTAATCTGTTTTATTTTGTGATGCTTTACATGCAAAACCAGAAAAAACAACGTAAAAGTATAGCTGTCAATGTTAGCTTTGGTTCGGTATTGCCACTTTTTTAAATAAAATTAAAAAGTGTCTATCGAGCGGTGAATAGAGTGAACATATCCATCCAAGTTATATTTGACTTTCTAGTTTTCCTCCTACTATGGAGGTGGACGTAACGTATATTTTTTTATTAATTAACTAGTTTAATTAGATATCTGATAGTTACTTCACGATCTAATTAATGGACACAATTTAATACATTAAAAGAACAACTATACCTAATAAAAGTGTGAAAGAAGGAAGCTACTGTTCTTTCGACCTACTGGAACGATCCTGGACCAGTCTATCTACTTACTGGCCCGAAGGCCCCCCCGTGGCTAACATCGAGATGTTGTATATATATTTAGCGAGGCCCTACAATTAGTAGGGCATTTCGGGCTATGACGTCATCACCGTGAGTGTAGTTGTAGATTGTAGAATGTAGGTGTCTATAATAAATCAATAAACTGAAGGTGTAAAAGATAACATATATTTATAAAATAATAAAGCTAACACATATTTAATTTGTATTTCCGTTCAGATTAGTTCCTGTAAAGCTGTATGAGAAAATTATGATACAGGATAATTCAATGTATGAAATATTCATACAAATATGGGAGCAATTTCGACCAAACGTTAAATAGCCCTCCATGTCAGCTGCATTGGGCCATTACGTCAGCTAATCGCCTTTAATAAAATTTTATAACGTTATAATCATGTTACAATGTATAATGGTTTTTATTATACAGATTAAAATTAATTACGATGAAATTCAATTTTTATTTCATTACAGATTTATATATGAAAAGGAAGGCGTTCATGACCATCAACGGATTCACGGGGCTTGGCAAGTGCGTTGCCGACTTTTGATTCTAGAAAAAAAATGTTTAATGTAAATTTGTTTTGATTTTCAGTCCGCAATCTCCACAGCCGAAGAACTGGCGCGTATATTTCGCCACTCTTAAGTTTATTTAAAAAAAGCTCCTAAATTTTACTTCAAGCATTATAATATAGAGTTCCTATCAATCGACACGAGTTTTTAAAGCAGGGAGTTACTTAATTGCTAAGTTGATCGCACATCTAAAAGCTTGTATTGCCTGATGTTACACATTTCATGAATCTTACTGTAGCTACTGGTCGCCCATATGCCTGCTAAAAATAAAACTCACGAGAAAAATAATAATAAATAGGGTTGTAGCGCCACTGGATTATGGGACTCGGATTGCTTCCGTTTCTTTGATCATTTTTATTTTATACACAAGTAGGCGATCAACCTTCTGAATCTGACACATGTCATCGATTTTTGGTTTTAATACATGTCGATTTCCTCGCGATGTTTGCTCCTCCACCTTAGGAGCAAGTGTTAATTGCGCATATAGAATGAAAATTTTATTGGCACCGTGATTCTGATGAGGGAAATAAACAGATATATATCTTTTGTACGCCATCTCTGGTCTACGGTTCCTCTTCACGCTAAACTCTAAGATTTCCATGATATATGTTCTCGTAAATATATAAAATAAATAAATGCGTTTCGAGTGCAAGGTAAACAATAAACAGAGTGTCAGACGTACTGTCTTATTTATGGCCCTGTATGTCTAAACATTTCAAACCTTCACTCAAAACTTAACCTTTCAATCCGCACTCAATTGTTTAGCTATAAATATTGTTACATAAATCTAAAGCTAAGAGCATACGTAGAAACACGATATTTTTTTTATTGATTTAAAGATGTAGAACCGAGGTAATACCGGCTGGAGGCTCACTTGATATTACATGTGAACACTCTCAATTCCAGGGGGCTCGCAAGGGCGTTGCTTTTGGAATTGGTACTTGCTTTCCTTAAAGGACCCTAAGTCGAATTGGTTCGGAAATACTTCAGCGGGTAGCTGGTTCCACATAGTAGTGGTGCGCACAATAACTGCCTTGAATAACACTCAGTTGGGAAACACCGGATGTCGAGGTGATACGGGTGAAATTACGTTTTCTAAATAAACTAAGATTACAAAATCTCCAAAAAAACACTAATGTGTTAACTTTAGTACCTAAAGCGCCACACCACAGTACACATTTCAATCGCATTCTTCACCACTAATATACAGTTTTAACAAGAAATATGCTTCTGCGTTCTATTGAAAATAGTTAAAATATCGAAATGATTAAACTTTATAACACAATTAACGTTATAGTAGTATTTTTTTTAAATGTTTACTAAATAATATTCATACATATATGTATGAAAATTAATGTCAAAACTTGAAAGAGTTCCATTGACACCTGTTTAATAAACAAATGTATCGTACATAGAAATATTACCAATTGGTAATATCATTGGTTGGGGGGGGTTTGGGTCTATGCTTCTACGGTTCCCAGTACGACATGCTTGCATGGTAGCATAGGTGCAAACCCATCCTACCACATCCTTCTGATGGGTAGGGAGGCGTGGCTTTTGGGGGTAGCGCAAGTCGCTATGATCCCCTCAAAGCAAGTTTGGTGGACTAACCTTCTCGAGGTTGCCGACCCTGTTCTTGGTCTAATACCCTATGTATTAGACGTAACTAAAACCGCCAAGCGAACTATTGCAGGGATGGAGAGGTCATGTCCTTGCGAGTTCATCGTCCAAAAAGGGAGGACGGTGGACAGTAAATGACCTCCCGCGTGTTTGTGCCGTGCGCGGGGACCCGTACGGGGGGATGAAGGAATCCTGGGGGTTGAGTGGAGTAGTGCGCCGGAACAGTTGTGCGCTGCACACAACACACCTCTTTGGTCTGGATTTCTCCTCACACGGGAGGCCGGGGTCTAGCTAACCACGGTCAACCGGCTGTGGCATCCCATAAGCGGGCTGCCGAGCGAGAGTCGGGGTGTGGGGGGGGCCGTCGGCGCGGCGCGGGACTCGGGGTAAGTTTGCGTCATAGTCTCGTGGCGCGAACAGCTCCGTACTTCCTTGCTGCGTGCGGATGCGTCTGCCTCCCTATGTGCTGGCTCTATACCGGAGGAGTAGCTCTGACGTCGCTTGCTGAGCAAGGGACGTCCCCGACGTGAGGGCTCCGTGGCGGGTGGAGAGCTCCAATGGTGAATCCAAACCATATCACCTCATGGATAAAGAGGCAAAAAAACTTACTCTAAACTAACACCAACAAACCCAGGGTTGCGTCTTTGGACGTGTCGCGGTGCAAGTCACCAGTGGCGCGATACTCTGATGCCCCTGTCACACACACCGATGCACCCTCACGGGCAGCGTCCGGGACCCCAAAGGAGAGGGCAGCGGCTGGGGTTGCACCAATCCGGGCTGCACTCCGGCCCGTACCCAATCCGATGGAATCCCGTATACAACCGCACAAGGATGTGACCACTGCTGCGGCCAGGTTGACTGCGTCGGTCGAGCCAAAGATAGCAACTCCGGACGATGATACAGCACTGTCTGCGTCTGAAGGGGTGCTTCCGCGGCAAGAACGATGCGGCAGACCGAGGCTGCGACGGAGGGCACGTCCAGTGCACTAACCACGACCATGGATATGTCGGCCCTGAAGACCGCAATTCAGGAGCCGACTTTCAAAATGGTCGTTAGCAACTCTAAAAGGCGACGGCACAGGAGAGCCATAAGGGCGTCGGAACAGCAGAAGCTGGTCACCGGCGCTCCGAGGCCACCTGTGAAACCTGGAACTGCCCCCGCTGTAACCACAGTTGAGAGAGGCGGGAAAAGGACACCGAAGCCTAAAAGATCCACTGCTGCGCCCGTGCCTAGCTGCTCTGGGTGCGGCAAGGGACTTAAGAGTTCCAAAACAAACCAAGCCACGAAGGGCCAGAAGCGCGACCGGCCTGAGGAAACCGTAACACCGACTGGGGAAAGTAAAAGGGTCAAACCCAACAAACCCCAGAAAGTGGCAGGGACCTCGGCCAGTTACGCGGAAGCGGCAGCATCATACAAAGCTAACGAGCTTTGTGTTGCCGTGATGACTGAGCCTTTCGTGGATATGACTACAGGAACAGGCGGATAACATCCGCCTACAAATCGAGGGTAAAATTCAAGATGAGCTCCTGGCGGATCTTGATGCTACCCTAACTACCGAGCCCAACGACATCAGGTTCCGGGGTAAGGCCCATTTCTCGGATGGTGTCCTCAAAACTTGGTGCGAGGACACTTACACTCTGGGTTGGCTGACCGGAACTTGTGATGTCATCACAAATCCAGTACCTGACACCAGGTTGGTGGTTCGGCCTCAATCGGCGATTCCGAACAGGATTCCGTGTCTGCTACATGTACCAGACTACAGTGGCAACACGGAGACACTGAGGAAACTGATCACGAGGCAAAACCGCCACCTCAACATCAGATCCTGGACCCTGACACACGAACGAAGAACTCAGGACCCGACAGGCGTGTCCCTCTTCTTTCGTGTGCCGGAGTTTGAGATCTCTAAAATCAAAGAGCATAATCGGCGTTTATACTACCTGATGGGGAACATCTATATCCGCATCCTGGATAGAGATGAGCCCTCGCAGGTGGCCAACGCCCCACCAACTGCTGCCAGCACATCGGGGGTGGCGTCGTCGGGGCCGGGGCTGCCCACGTCCCTGACGGGGGTGGCTTCGGTCACCGGGGCACACGTCCCTATGGAGGTAGCTACACAACCACCGTCACCGGTGCAACTAACTTCGGATGATGAGTTGTTTCAGGAGACCGGGGGAGTGAACTCAGCGACAGCTGTCTGCGCTCCTCCCCATCGCCGAACTGACCTCATCCAGGCTAACCTCCAGCACAGTCAGACAGCGTCGGCTTCCCTACGCAGACTGCTGGAGACCAATCCGAAGACCATCGCCGCGATCCAGGAGCCGTGGATCAGGAATGGCAAGATATGCGGCCTGGGCTGCACCGGTGGTAAACTTTTACTGGATACCTCCGTAAGTAACCCTAGAACTTGCATAATCTTGCCTAAACATGTACCAGCATTTCTAATAAACGAACTCTGTTCAAGGAACCTTACAGCTATTAGGTTACCCAGAGACAATCAACCAGACGTCGTCCTGGCGTCCGCCTACTTACCAGGTGACGAGGACGTGCCCACTCCAGAACTCGGCCTTCTGGCTGACTACTGTGAGAGGGAGAAACTGGAGCTAATCATCGCGGCGGACTCCAATGCGCACCACACGTTATGGGGTAACGCTAGTACCAACACTCGAGGTGAGGATATGCTTAATTTTATACTTAGCAATAACCTTATCTTGGCAAACAATGGCTCAAAACCAACGCGCGTTCGCAAACTATTATTGACTTAACAATGGTAACTGCTGGTCTGTCAGATCACATACAGGACTGGCACGTATCCAACGAGTTATCATGCTCGGATCATAGGTGGATCCGCTTTGCAATCAAAGGGGAGCTACCTAAACCTCAACCTAGACGTATACCGCGGAGAACCGATTTGGTAAAATTTTATAAACTTATCAGCTCTGAGGTAGACAAACTATCGATACCAACCACCATAAACATACAAGACATAGACAAACATGTAAACAACCTAACGTCCCTACTACTGACAAGCTATGAACGGTCGTGTCCCCTTACCATACCAAGATGGGGAGGGAGACATAACTGGTGGTGCCCCGAACTGGAGAGACACCGACGGAAGGTCAGGAAGCTGTTCAATAGAGCAATGAACACACGGTTACCCACCGACTGGGACAAGTACACGGTCGCGAGAAGGCGATTCAAAAAACTTTTACGTACTAGGAAGCAGGAGTGTTGGAGACACTTCTGCACCAGTATTGAAACAAACAACCAGGCAACCAGGGTGAAATCACGCCTCTCCAGAGAGCCCAATCACTCGATCGGTTGTCTTAAAAACCTGACAATTCATTTACAAAAACTGATTCAGAAACATGTGAACTACTACTGGCAACACACTTTCCGGGTTGCATAATTGCCAACGAACAGGCCTGGCAACCATACTCAGAGAGAGCCACCGACAGCTCAGACTGGCAAGTAGCTCACAAAATAATCACTAATGAAAAAGTAACGTGGGCAATCAACTCCTTCCTTCCATTCAAAGCGGCCGGTTTGGACGGCATCTTCCCAGGTCTACTAAGATGGAGTGGGAACTTAATAGTAGACTATCTTGTCTCTGTCTTCCGAGCCTGTATAGCCCACCGATACATACCCTTGAAATGGAGAGAAGTAAAAATCATATTCATCCCAAAACCAGGTAAAGAGGACTATACCCAAGCGAAGTCCTTCAGGCCTATTAGCCTTACTTCATTCTTCTTAAAAACGATGGAGAGGCTAGGAGACCTGGAGATACGCAGCCGGGTATCGCTATCCAAATTCCTACACCCTAATCAACATGCCTATAGCTCGGGCAAATCAACGGACTCATCACTCCACAACGTCGTGTCTCGCATTGGCAACTCCCTGAAGTTAAAGCAGTCAACCCATGGTGCATTCATTGACATCGAAGGTGCTTTTGACAAAACAAACTTCACGAGTATAACCAGAGCACTAAGGTTATGTGGAGTACCATCAACCCTTATAGAATGGATAAACAACATGTTAAAACAACGAGCTATACAGTTCACGGTAAACTCCACAACACGAGGCATTGTCAGCAGAGGATGTCCGCAGGGAGGTGTTCTATCGCCGCTACTGTGGAACCTTGTGGTTAATGAACTAATCACAGAACTCAACGCTGACAATCTCTACACTGTGGGATATGCTGATGACATAGCTATCTTGATATCTGGGAACTTTGAAAGCACCTTATGTGACCTCATGAGAAGAGCTTTCAAAGTGATTGAGAGATGGTGCAATAAGCACGAGTTATCTGTCAACCCATCAAAAACAGAACTAATACTTTTTACCAACCGAAGAGTTCTTGGACCGTACAAACTTCCGAAACTCTTCAACACTAAACTCATACTCAAGTATGAAATCAAGTACCTAGGTGTGATTTTGGACAGTAAACTGCTCTGGAACAAACATCTAGAACACAAACTAAACAAAGCAACGATCGCCTTTTATCAATGCAAAAAGATGCTAGGCGTGAAATGGGGCTTATCGCCTAAGATAACATTATGGATATACACTGCCATAATTAGGCCAATGCTAGCCTATGGAGCCCTTGTTTGGTGGCCCAGAACAGAACTTCAAACGGCAATTACCAAACTCGGACGCTTCCAAAGGCTTGCTTTGTCCGCTGCTAGCGGTTGCATGAAAACAACACCAACTGCAGCAATGGAGATGGCCCTGCAGATCTTACCCCTGGACCTACACATACAGCAGGAGGCAGCCCTGGCTGCTATCAGGCTTATGGTACTGGATCTATGGGGAAAAAATCACTACAGTGCACACACAGCGATTCTCAACAGGGCAATAGAGTATCAACCTCTTATTGCTGCGCCCTGTGATAGAATCACTAACCAATTAATATTTAACAGGAAATATCTTATACAACTGAGAGAAGAGGAACATGATCGGTCGACCGTAAATGAGCTACGTATATATACAGATGGATCCAAAACAGGGTCTGGCTCAGGCGCTGGCATATTCTCTCTTGATCTCAACATCAACATACACCTACCCTTGGGCACACAGAGCACGATCTTTCAATGTGAATGTGTCGCCTTAACCGAAGCAGCCAGAGCCGTGCAGCGGCTAGGGATTAATGACTTTGGCATTAAATTCGTATCCGACAGTGCATCCGTGCTGATGGCGCTCGGAAACAAAAAAAACCAACAGCAAACTAATACTGGAGTGTCATGAAGCACTGGAGGTCATAACCCGAACCAATAGGGTTACCTTGCAGTGGATAAAGGGACACAGTGGATCTCTCGGCAATGATGCTGCGGACGAGCTTGCGAGAAGAGGCTCCGGAATGATGCCTGCTGGCCCGTATCCGCTCCTTCCTTTGCCCTTCTCGCTGGTGCGAACCTGGATTCGCCAGAGATCCGCTGAACTCCAGCAACAACGATGGTCGCATGGTGCGGCCTGCAGACAGTCCAAAGTGGCTTTGCCAGCAGTAAACCCGCAACTACTTAACTTAAATAGAACTAACCTTAAAATAATGATAGGGACAATAACGGGTCATTGCCTCCTAAATAAACATCTTTTTATCCTAGGCGCGACAGACAGCCCCTGTGCAGAGGCTGTTTCAGCGCAGAGGAAACAGTCACCCACGTAGTCCTGGAATGCGAGGCTGTGGCTAATCAACGTGAAAAAATCCTCGGAACGGTGAGGTCGCTCCGGGAAGCCTGTGAAGTGCCCAGGAGACTTCTGTGCTTCTGGAAGGAGCTAGGCTGGCTAAATTAGCCAGGACTCGTACGCACAACGGACCAACCTCGAGTCTAATTGCGGAGAAAGGAGTCCTTCAACCCTAACCCCCTAACCCCTGGTAATATCAAGTAAATGGTGAGCCTTATTCATGAATTATGTATTTATCTTTTTGCTGAAATTATGATATTTACGCCATTTTTAACGATAATAGTTTTACTTGACATCGTATGGTCTTTTTTGATATCTTTATTTTTCTGGTTAACAAAAAAGAGAGCCCACTTTCACGATATTATTAACAAGATATTTAACATTAGAAACAAATAGCTTAAAAAAACAGATGCCGTAGATTGCTCCTCGATAACAACGTTACTTACAAATGTACAGAAACTTAATTACAGTTTTTGTCACCACAATTTTAAAACTCATCCAAGAGTAGTAGTAGTAGTAGAAGTTTTATAGGTGTTGAAAGTTTGTTATTATTATTATGATTATTAATACCAAAGCAACCAAGGATAGTGATATCAGGTCGGGTCGTACATAACAGTACCAAATCCAGCACGTGCACGAGCATGCATGGCGAAAGTGAATCTAGCGAGAGGTCAGGGAAGATCCGTGTTTTTCTCTATCGGGAAAAAGCCGTGAATATGAAAATACATATATTATTGTGTTGTTAAAATACTTTAAAAGTAACCTTTTTTAATATATTTTTTTTAAATATAAACAACCCATGGGACTACAACTCCTTGGTCTAAGCCTCAGATTTCTGATGTTCCGTTTAATAATTCTTCTTTATTAGCCAATACGCCTTTCGAACATACTACCGCCAAGGTCTAAGGCTATGCGCCTAGTTTATTCTAACACTGATCTATTTGTGAAAAATACCCTGAAATATAATATTCTGATCATTACAATAACCAACTCACTAATAGATATTCATATACTCAGTAGGCAACAAAAACATTACTAGTACATAAAAAAGTTTTTGATAAACAACCGTGGTATAAATTTATATTGAATTAAATTTTTTCCTATTACACATGCGAAACGGGTCTCCAAGTTCGCGAGTCGATTTTATTACGAAGTTTGTCACTCGAGAGAAGTTCGTAAAAATTCTGTATAAACTCGAAAATTTAACCGAGAAAGAAGGCAGTTGGGAACGTCACTAACACATCTGAGAGGCATTGTTGAACCGACAGATGTTAGAATTCATTCTCAGGTGGTTCCTTCGATTATCCGTTTACAAAGTCGTGCTCAATTCTCACCAAACTTGTTTAATTAAAGTTTTCTCACTCTTTTTTCCTAAGGCGGGGAAATAATCCCTTGTCGGGAACAGCGTCGTGAGTGGAGTGTTATCAATGTAGTCGACCATGACCTAAACGGCCTTTTGCGTCGTGTTTGATGCATTTCGATATTGCTTTGGGATATTGGGATTTAAAAATAGAAAAGCAATTGAAACTGGAATTTCATGTTTCTCATACGTTTACGGAAATTAATCGGGGGCTTTTCAATTGTTTCTTGGTACGTGTATATCCGAACGTGTATCATATCAAATATTTTCTATGTTTATTTTTATACGGCAAAATGATTTCTGGTCACGTCTTGCGTTACCTGTAATAAAAGGCTGCTCGACTCCTTTCTCTGTCCTCACGTTCCAAGTTTTTGTGCTCGGTGTTTGCTTTCGGGATTCGAGTTCGTGTTCCAATATGGAGGAAAGTATTCTTACATTCGCATACTCGAACACTCGGCAATAAGTTCCCACTATCAGATTCTAAACTTCACCATTGGGAATGTACTGGACGTGAGTTATTGCTTATGTAAATATAGTTAGCCATTAGCGTTCGAAAACCGCTCTAGCTGAATTATATTTCCTATTGTTACCTGTTTCCTGAAATACTGTACATTTAAATGTATTTTCGCTACACTCAGCATATGGTATGTCAAATTGTTACTTAAATATAGTTACTGTTACAAAATACTATTTGGTTGTGTGAAAAATCAAATTAAATATGGTAATGATCAATCAAAGAATAAAAGAAAGTGATAGTTTTCTATTGTTTTTTTCAATGTAACATACATTAGTAATGTGTTGTTTAAACATTTACCAAATTAAGATTGGTAATTCCAGTTTTAATATCCATATTTTGTTATTGTGATAGGTTTATACAGACGTGCGTTTTCTTTTGTTAAAGCAGTGTTTCCAAAGTCCTGAACTTTGTCTTGTTTAAATGTCTTTGTAGTTCAATAACTTAAATGAAATACACCCAGACACTTTGACCAACGCGTGCCGATGTTACAGGCAAGTTGAGTTTAATACAGTGTTAAATGTTACATTGCAATATAAAGCGTTACCTGTTATAGATTTCTTTATAACTAAAAGAAAAGTGAATACACTTATACTAGAGTAGTATTTATCCTGTCAGTGTTTATCAATACCAAAAACAAAATGATATCTCAATCCATTACAAAGATTAACTTAGAAGAAATAGTTCGTATTTCATTCCTTAACGGAGATGGAAAATTGAATTCCCAAATAAAAATAAAGAGAAGTTTTAGCGAGACAATAGAACTTCACCAGATTCTCGGCCGTCTTACCACAACGGCGACATTCTCCAGATAATATTGGACACAACTATTTTCGTTTCGCTGTTATAAAATCTTGCATAACGTTTTGCTAATAAGTACGGTATTTATTAGAAGAAAGATTTAAATGTTCTTTGTTTGTGGATTAATGGATTATTTAAACTTTTTCACTTATTACAACACAGAAGATTATTTAATTAATTCAGTTACCGTTAACTGGTAATATAGGACTGAGTACTAGTGCGTGAGTAATATTTTATGAAGACCGTAGCAGTGGCTACGTAGTACCTTTTATCTCTTTAAACTGACAAAATAGACTCTAATTACAGCATGTGCAATGAAACGAAAAATCATTTGTCTCAAAGCCATGCTTATTATGCAATAATCAGTAATATATATATTATACTTTTTATAGTTAGCGAGTTATATTTGTGCTCATATTTCCTCATTATACTAATTTGTATTTTGCCGGTGTTTTCTTAAACATTTTAATGCCTCCATTATCGTAGAAGCATGAACCGAGTCAGGGTACCAGGATTAGCGGCTTACGAGTGATTATCACCCGGCTTCACGATTTGCCTTGAAATTTTAAAACAGATTTTGCAAGAGCAGCGCTGACGTGAATATTCGTTAATTGTTTTATAAGCGACGGAAGTGTTTAAACGTGGGTATTGTGAGTTGTTAGGAACTATGGAAATCATTGCGTCTTTATAGTCATAGCATAGCATAGATGCCATAGACGCGATATGACGCTTTTTTTTACTAAAAACTTTTTAATAATGTACAAGTGTATGGGTTGATGGTAATTTTATTCGAAAACTAAATATAGTTTGTTATACACTTCACAAATAGTAGAATACTTTTTATTTTCCAGTTCCAGTTGTGGTTATAAATAGAGACCAGGGTAAATTCTACCCGTTCCGCCTTGATGTCTGGCGACGACCGAGCACTGTTTAAGACTTCTTGCCACGCACCACCACATTATGGAACCAGCTGCTATTCCAAACCGTTACGACTTAGAGCTCTTTAGGAGACGTGCCTTCTACTACCTTAAAGGTCGGCAATTTGCCAACCTACTGGTGTTACAGGTGTCCATGGGCGGCGCCAAACACTAAACACGTTTAAACTAAACCTATCCCGTGAAAAAGGCAGCAGTAAAAACCTACTAAGCTAAGAAAATAAGGACAATAACAAGCCACAAGCTCAACAGAAGCAATAACGTTAGTTTAAAATTACTTTTGGTCCCAAATTCCGATATCGTATTGTCAAGTGGCAAAACTTTCTCTATCGTTGGTCCAACTCAGATTGTCCCCTGTAATCAACGAACTTTAATAATATTAGTTTCGCTCGAAATCTAGTTATCATACAGATCGAGCCGTCAATCAAGTGTAAATTAATTTTCTCGTGGAAAACAGTATTCAAATTCCAAATATTGATAATTGACGATTTTTCCACTTCAGTGTCTTGAATAATAACAGACAAATTAACACAGAAACAATTGTCTATTCGAGCCAAAAATCTAATTTATTAGCTTTGATCAATATTTAAAATATTACCTTTCTATAATAAAAATTTAAATGAATGAATTAATGAAAAAGAAAAAAATAATCAAATAGCCTATGTTTTTACCTGGCACAATTTGTTTTTATTTATTCTAGAATTACTTATTACATAATATGCATAATTAATAGAATATAATTCTCCATAATTTAAAAACTTACAAAAATATAGATTTGTCTAACTATTTTGAATTCTAAAGGCTTTATTATAAAATGGTAAAATTTAATGTAATTGAATATGCTACTTCTATCACGAGCGTCACCGGTATATGATATTAATTATATAGCACGAGTAGACTCAAAAGTGACCTCGGTTTAACTAAGTTAGCCAGACTTAGCTCTTGTATCCATTTACGAAGCTCAATTCATCACAGGAGTCACTTGAGAGTTAATTGCAATTAGTCGCATTAAGCAGACGCTTACTCGCACCGTCCAAAACGTACAGAAATCCTCACAGTGGCCGGATAAAGTTCATAAAACTGAAAAAATATGACCCCCATTTTAAATTTCATAATGGAAGCGCTGTGTATAAGCTGTATAAGTTAGCTTAATGGCGCATTTGCAATGATTTATAAAAATACGAGAGAGATAACCTCTGTTGCGAATATTTCAATGTTTCGTATAGAGGTGCGGCAAAGCGTTACTTTTACATCACAGTGATTGTTGTTCCACTTTCCCAAGAATCACTGTTCCATTTTTAAACCAGGGTCATAACATATACCTCTTATTGGTGCTTCTCATTATAACCCTTTATAACACCGTCTCTAAG